GAGTTAACGTATTTAGTTTGATAGATATGAGTTTGTGACCCTGGGTTTCACGTTTTTTGCGATCGTCAGTTTGTCTGACGATTGCAGAATCGTGAAATCCAATGTCAATAACTCACATCTATCAACTAATATATATATATATATATATATATATATATATATATATATATATATATATTAAAAAGTAGTAATACAAAGAAAAAAATCAGCGCAGTTTCGCTCTATTACATTTATTTTTGTCTCGAAAATTCCCCGAAATTACCTGAAATTGAAAAAATAATATAAGTGCCTAAAGGTGATAAAACGATTTGTCAAAAGTACTTGCAATGGACTGAACATCCAATCCATTTTACAATTTCTAAAAACAAAAACCTAGACATTCATCGAGTGGTTAATAAGTTATTGCTTAATTAAATCTGTTAGCGAAGTGAATTCGCTATTAATTAAATTAACTTTACTCATTTATTCTTTGTATCTTTACTTCTTTATAATTTTAATTACACTGCACCAAATTAATATATATATATATATATATATATATATATATATATATATATATATATATAGCAGCAGAGAGAAATAAAGGCAGCAACTGAGACGTAAGCAGAGATAGATGGATAGATCGATGTTTGCACCAACAGAATTATTTCAATGAATTCACTTTAAAAATCAAACGGATCATATGAAATACAGAACGAATGATTTCAACCTCAATTACTGTAAATAATGGGTTTCTGTGTGTATGTTTGTTTATAGACGCACGTCTGTGTGACTTCGCGTACAAGATATCATCATCAGATGTCTGAATATATATTTGAAATAGAAAGATAGTTCTGACTTGGATTTGTGGTGATAAAATTTTATGGCGAAGCTCTTAAACGACGTTCTTCAATTTCTAAATTCTTTAGTCAGGCTCATGCACATATCGGAGTATATTGCTTGGTTTGGTTTGGTTTGGTTTGGTTTGGTTTGGGTTTGGGTTTGGTTTTGTTTGGTTTACGGTATATCAACCTGAATGGGTTAATTAGTGCCGACAAGATTTTTATTACTGGTAAGATTTTTTTATCTATCTATCTAGCTAGCTAGCTAGCTAGCTAGCTAGCTAGCTCAGTCTATTCCTATCTATCTATCTATCTATCTATCTATCTATCTATCTATCTATCTCAGTATATACTGGTTTGGTTTGGTTTGTTTTACGGAAATGAGTAATTTAATGCACACAAGATTTTTATTGCTGGTAAGATTTTTATCTATCTATCTATCTATCTATCTATCTATCTCAGTATATATTGGTTTGGTTTGCTTTGATTTACGGCATATCAACCTCAATGGGTTATTTAAGGCCGACAAGATTTTTCTTGCTGGTAAGATTTCTTATCTATCTATCTATCTATCTGTTGTGAGACCGTAACATACCTACAACATAGAGGAGAAAAGAGAGAGTATTCTAATACCGTAGTATCAGCCGCGTAAGACTACCAATATTGGACACTAGCACATAGTAAGCTCCGCTTACACTTACACTATCTTTGTAACCTTTTTGTTTAATATATCTTTCTTATCTCTAATCCGTGTTCCGTGTTTTCCTTCCGTGGTCCCAACTTTGGGTCCACATCAGTGGCGACGAGGATGAGATTCGAACTCACGCGGGGAGACTCCAATGGATTAGCAGTCCCACATCAGTGGCGACGAAGAATTCGAGAAATGCATTCACGTCGAAAACCTCAATCCATTGCCAGTCCCACATCAGTGGCGACAGAAAGATTCAAGAATTTCGTTCTCACCATATCAATAGCGACAGAGTACTCGAAAAATACACAGAAACTCCATGCGTTCTCACAGCTGTGTTGAACGAGAAATTTAGCTGGTATTACTACATTAGCGATTTAAACGCAATACCCAGCGTCTACATATAAAAAAAAATATATTCCGATACCAAACAGCAGTGACGTACTAGCGATTCGACATCTACGGAATATTAAAGTCTGTCCAAATAACATTACGAGAACGATTTCTTACACACCCACACACAGAAAAACAACCAGTTTGTTCATAAAACAAACTGACAACAAGAGACGAAGTACTACTTACGACTCAAGTTTTCGAAAAAACTATCGAAAAAATTTTTTATGTAACTGAGTTGAATGTCGTGCATAAAATTATTCTCCCCTCAAATTCACTGAGGCGGGTTTTCTCTTTTTTGTACCTCTATAAAAAAAAATACATAATAAGTGTGGTGAAAATTTATACAATTACGTTAAAATTAACGGAACCACGGAATCTCAAAAAAGCTAAACACATCATTAGTTTAGTTTAACTAATTGTCTGTCCATATTTTTTTCTTTTTTTTTTTTGTTCGAAAAAAAATCTATCAAGATTTTTTTTTGTACCTCCCCTTGGTACATGGGTTTCAAAGCAACAAAAAATCGCTGTCATTTTTGTTTGTCTAATAGGGAAGATTTTCAAAAAGTAATCGTCCAAATGCTAAAAGTACATTTGGATCAGCAACAAAAATCAGAAGAAAGACAACAACTATTTTTGGAATTACATAAACAACAAATGGAATTCCAACAAATTACGCTTCAGAATGCTGAATTACAACAGAAACAACTTAAAGAATTACTCGTAAATGCATTAAAAGGCTCAAACTCTGAAAAAGATACAATATTCTTCCAGTGTACAATCTACAATTCAATGGAAACCTTTGATTACGTCCCAGAGAACGACAAAACGTTCGAGGGCTTTTACAGGCGCTACGAAGATATTTTCAACGTAGACTGTGAACAATGGCCCAGTAAAAAAAGGTACGTCTACTATTGAGAAAACTGGGAACTACAGAACATAGTAGGTTCATAGACGTCATACTACCCAAGAAAACCAATGAATTGGATTTTTCAGAGACTATTAAGCTCCTATCGAAACTATTCGGGCCTAACATAACCTTGTTCCACAAACGTTGGAAATGCCTGAACACAGTCAAAGACAACCAGCAAGATTTTCTAACGTTTGCAGCATCGGTAAACAAGCTCTGTAATCATTTTAAACTAGCCAAACTGACTGCTGATGATTTCAAGTGCTTGATTTTCGCACAAGGTCTAGCAGAAGACGCCGAAGTCAGACGACGGGTACTGACCAAGCTTGAGAACGAACAAGGATTGACTCACCAAAAACTGGCAGCGGACTGTCAAAGAGTAATATCTGTAAAGCGTGACTCAAACACTATCGAGGAATCAGGTGTGGCTCAATTTAATAAAATCAGAAGCAAGTCTACCTCCTATTCCCCTCAAAAAGACAAAAGGCAAATCTCATGTCCTAAATCCCGCAGTAACCAAAACCCAAATAGGTTAAAGAAACCGCCCGGACCATGTTACCATTGTGGTAAATGGCATTGGATGAAATTCTGTCCAGTTAAGAAGAAAAAATATTGCAAAAATTGCAATAAAAGTGGGCATACTTTAACTCGGTGCTGCTACGCCAACAGAACGAGAAAACGCAAAAATAAAATTAGGCAAGCTCAATCTGACGATATTGTCGATAGGAATTTAAGGAAATATGTAACTGGATATTTTCAATAATTCCATTAAATTCCAGCTTGACTCGGGTTCCGATCTTTCAACCATTATCTAGCGTACTTGGCGAAAATTAAACAAGCCGACCTTATTAAAAAATGGTGTCATATGCCCTAGTCGACGAATGGGTTTATAAGGCGATCATACGCCGACCAGTAGATATATACATTATCACACCTGTGGAGAGATACGGGCTATCTCTCTCAGATCATGACAAATGGACAATTAGTAAACAAAAAAATATTTTAAAGAACACTGTTCGATTAGGATTATCGAACAGTAATCTTTTCCCAGGTTCGCTTTGGTTTCAACACGAATACTGATCCACAATTCAAGGATGAACGATAAGGCGTAGTGAATTTTGATATAAGAACTTTAATATGTACAGATATACAAAATATTAAAATAAAAGAAAATATAAGCATGAGTAAAATATCCGACGACCAGATCTCAAGACTTATGTTGGGATATTAAAATACGCCTAACTCCAAATGGATTCGACTGAACCCGAACGGATAAAAAATATAAGTATGAATAACTACGAATGCAGAAATCAACACATAAGCAAAAGAGATGGGATAGGAGTTACATATTATTATTTTGACATGTGGAAAGGTGTTTGTAAGAACATAATATACACATTCATGGATGTATGTGTATCTTTCTAACACGGGTCCAAAATATATGATTACTTATCTTTATATTCAGTTCTCATTTTTTTATCATTGTCCTTTCTTTTCTTTCTCACGTTTCCTCTTTCTTTCTTTCTTTTTCTTGACACAAATACGATTTCACACACTGTCCGGCAGTAACAGATATACACTTTCTTCTTCTCTCCGGTTTTCTTTTTTCTTTCTTTCTTCTTCTTACACAATTCAGCTTGTAACAGAGATATATACTTTCTTCCTCCCTGATTTTCTCTTTTCTTTCTTTCTTTCTTTCTTTCTTTCTTTCTTTCTTTCTTTCTTCTTCTTTACACAATTCAGCTTGTAACAGAGATATATACTCTCTTGCTCCCTGGTTTTCTCTTTTCTTCAAACTCAGGCTGTATTCTCAGCTTACAAATTCCTTTGCGTCTTCTGTGATAAATAACGCGAGTTATCATCTTCAATATGGTGTTATCGAACAGAAATACATGTTCTTATATTTCTTGTCCGGAGTTGCCTGGGATGAATCGGACAAGTTCCATCATTATCAAATGAGTCTCATCTTTCCGTTCATAAGTTATCAGCGCTTCGATTTCGAGTCTTGCTCCTTCAAAGACAAGTAATTCCCAAGTAATTTTCAAACTCTCACGTGTCCTGCATTTTGGCGCAAACTCCAAACTTACATCAGTCCCCTGTCTAGCTTCTGTCTAGACATCTGTTGCTACGGGTAATTGGGTCAGTCAACCTCTTGACTTGCTTTCCCAAAATGTCTCAAGACTTCCACGTGACCTCTTCTGTTGTCAGGCGGAGATTAACATTAATATATGCGTGTTTGGGCTATCTGCGTCCGTCACAACGGATAAAACAGCAAAATCCGTAACTGGCGAAAAGATTAACATTTTAGGCGAGGTAATACTTACAATAACACTAAATGGAGTTACCAAAAAACTCAAAGCCTACGTATTGAAAACTTCAGATAACTTATTTGGAACAGATTGGATAGAAAAATTCAATCTTTGGGATTGCCCAATGAGTACATTTTGTTGCAAGATACAAAGTACAACGTCCAATTTGGTAAATCTAAAAAAAGGAACTCAATTTCCCCAGGTTTTTTCTGGCGGCCTTGGGAAATGTGCTAAAATGAAAGCTAAGTTCAAGGTGAAGGACGGTGCACAACCGGTATTCAAAAAGAAACGGAATGTCCCTTTCGCTGCTCTAGAACAAATCAATAAAGAGTTAGATAGACTCGAACAAGCAGGTATTCTGTCAAAAACAGATTTCAGCGAGTGGGCAGCACCTACGGTCTACGTAAAAAAGAAGTCCTATCAAATACGAGTATGCGCAGATTTTTCCACAGGGTTAAACGATGCCTTGCAAGATCACCACTATCCTCTCCCAAGACCTGAAGAAATTTTCAATAAACTCAATGGTGGAAAGATTTTTTTCTAAAATCGACCTCTCGGACGCATACCTTCAGATAGAGGTGGAAGAAGAAAGTTCCAAATTGCTCTGCATAAACCCCAATAGAGGGTTGTACAAATGCAACAAACATGCTTTTGGAGTAAAGCTTGCGGCTGTAATTTTCCAGCAGGTCATGGACGCCATGCTGGGCGACCTTGACTACGCAACAGCCTATTTGGATGATATACTGGTTACTAGTAAAACTACGGCAGAGCACCGGAACCATATAATAAACGTATTCGAAAAGATACAAGAATACGGATTTAAGGTTAAGGAGGCAAAGTGTGACTTTTTCTTACCAGATATTAAATACTTAGGTCACTTCATAAATAAAGACGGTCGTCGGTCGGATCCAGAAAGAGCCAACGCGATCAGAAACATGCCGGCCCCAGATAACGTTCAAGCGTTACAAAGCTTCCTCGGCCTAGCTAACTTTTACCAAGGGTTCATTAAGAACATGCAAAATTTGAGAGGGCCTCTCAACCAACCTTTAAAATAGGCACTAGGCACACCGACAGATAGAGCATTGCAACAGTTTCTGCAGGTGTATCGGATAACCCCTAATCCGAACACGCCTATGGGAAGCTCGCCTGCAGAAACAAAGTTCGCAAGGAAAATCAAGTCTGTTTTCGACAAACTTATTCCACGACAAACAAAGTTAAAAAAAACCGTATCGCCTCATAAGAAATATTTCAATCCTGACGATAAAGTCTTTTTCAAGGCTTACAAAAACAACATTACATTCTGGGAAGTAGGCACCATAAAACAAAGAATTGTCGAACTGGTCTATATTGTCCAAGGACCGAAAAACACTCACAAACGCCATTGGAACCAGCTCAGAAAATGCCGTTTGAGGGAATCGGAGGAATCACTACAAAATAGCTGTGAAGAGCCGATCGACGTAATTTTCGATCAATTCGATCTCGACACGCCCCAAGTCTCTCCTGAAGTGCGACGCTCAGGAAGGAAAAGGAAATATACTCAACCGCTCGACGTAAATCCTAAGAGAAAGAAGTATTAACAGTTTTATGTTTTTTTTCTCCTTTTCAAAAGAAAAAAAAGAAAACTCTTGGAAGTGGGGTGTTGTGAGACCGTAACATACCTACAACATAGACTCTTCCAGGACTATATAAAGTATGCGATATAATACTCTAGGGGAAGAGGAGGAGAAGAGAGAAAGAGAGTATTCTAATACCGTAGTATCAGCCGCGTACGACGACCCATTTTGGACACTAGCACATAGTAAGCTAGCACATATATCTTTCTTACCTCTAATCCATGTTCCGTGTTTTCCTTCCGTGGTCCCTACTTTGGTCCACATCACTATCTATCGCAGTATATACTGGTTTGGTTTGTCTTACGACATATCAATTTCAATGGTTTATTTAATGCCGACAAAATTTTTATTGCTAGTATTTTTTTTTTCACAAATGTATTGCTGGTAATATTTTTCACAAAAATGTATTGCTGGTAATATTTTTCACAAAAATGTATTGCTGGTGATATTTTTTCCCAAAAATGTATTGCTGGTGATATTTTTTTTCAAAAATGTTTTTTCTGATAATAATTCTTTCAAAAATGTATTTCTGGTAATAATTTTTTTCTTCAAAAATGTATTACTGGTATTAAACCTATTTTTACACGTTTTCAACCCAGTTTGGGGATTAACTATTTTCCCATAGCTGGGACACTAACACGTGATACCACAATGTTCAAGATGGACCTGAGAAATAAGAGGTGGTTCCAGACCTCTCAAAATCTCCTGATTATAGGCCTTGAAGTTAGATGTAGTTTATCGTATTACTCAGGACGTGTAAATTACCTGGAACAGGGCGTGTTGACCAAAACCTTTAAGTCTGATGCATATATATATATATATACCCAAGTATATAATTGGTGTATACAGAATGAATTCCAATAACCAACAATTACTATTCTTAAAACAGTGCTCAATACAGAGTAGAGCAGATATAATTATTTATTTTTTAAAATTATAACATAAATCATACTTATTATAAAACCCAGGTTTTGTGTGTGTGTGTGTGTGTGTGTGTGTGTGTGTGTGTGTGTGTCTGCAAGTTTATATATTGGATCGGATTTCCTACATTTTTCAACCGTTTTCAACAAAACTTCACAGGACTATGTAAAATTACCTTGCGGTGGTTCTGATAGCGACAAAAATTGGAAAAACGCAATTGATTTTTGCACAAAATCAATTTGAAAACACGATTAAGAGGCATCGCTGTCGCGAGAATGAAAGGGGGACAACTCATATCGAGTTATACTTATTATAAAACCCAGGTTGTTTGTGTCTGTGTGTGTTTTTTTATATATGGGATCGGATTTCCTACATTTTTCAACCAATTTCAACAAAACTTCACTTTTTTTTTGGCAGGTAATGTTTCTTATTTTCTTGCACACTTTTTTTCTTTATTTTTACATTCAGAATGCTTTAAAAATTTACAAGACAATTGTTTATAACAAAATTCTATTCAATCGGTAGACTCATAACGATTGAAAACAATGTTTTTGTTTGAGTTTGGGTTTGACCAATTCATAAAAAAACAAACTAATTAAGACATGCGTGTCCGTCAACCTTAAACAATAATCTTTGTCAATTTTATTTTTCAGTCTTTATGATGGTCGATACTTGATCTATCTCTTACTGTGTTAAATCCCAGGGCAACGCCAAAATCTACTGCTAGTATGTTATAAAATCACTACAAAAATAGTCATAATATAAATAATAAAATTTTTTTTTTTTTTTTATATTCAACATCATCACTTGATAAGACACCGGAGGTGTTGAAAAAAAATAGCTATTTTGTACTGATTTTATAACATATTACGTTACAATTTTTAAAATAAATAATTATATATATATATATATATATATATATATATATATATATATATTGAACACTATAAAAATATTAAAAAATTAAAATCTTCAGACACACTGGGTTGTAGATTGTAGATTAATATTTTTCGTTTTTTTATTATTATTTCATTTACATTTCATTATATATATATATATATATATATATATATATATATATATATATGAATAAAGATTTAATAGGTAAAACTGTTCTTAGCATCTCCTGATTATAGGCCTTGAAGTTAGATGTAGTTTATCGTATTACTCAGGACGTGTAAATTACCTGAAACAGGGCGTGTTGACCAAAACCTTTAAGTCTGATGCATATATATATATATATATATATATATATAGATAGATAGATAGATAGATAGATAGATACCTAAGTATATAATTGGTGTATACAGAATGAATTCCAATAACCAACAATTACTATTCTTAAAACAGTGCTCAATACAGAGTAGAGCAGATATAATTATTTATTTAAAAAAATTATAACATAAATCATACTTATTATAAAACCCAGGTTGTGTGTGTGTGTGGGTGTGTGTGTGTGTGTGTGCAAGTTTATATATTGGATCGGATTTCCTACATTTTTCAACCGATTTCAACAAAACTTCGCAGGACTGCGTAAAATTACCTTGCGGTGGTTCTGATAGCGACAAAAATGGGAAAAACGCAATTGTTTTTGCACAAAATCAATTTGAAAACACGATTAAGAGGCATCGCTGTCGCGAGAATGAAAGGCTAAAAATGGCTATTTTTGTACTGATTTTATAACATATTTACGTTACAATTTTTTAAAATAAATAATTATATATATATATTTATATATATATATATTGAACACATATATCTTCAGACACACTGGGTTGTAGATTGTAGATTAATATTTTTTCGTTTTTTTATTATTATTTCATTTACATTCCATTATATATATATATATATATATATATATATATATATATATATATAAATAATTTAATTAATAGGTAAAACTATTCTTAGCACCTTGCCTTTTTTATTCATTATGTCCAGTCAACTCCTTATAGAAAATGGTTGTTTTGCCAAAAATTCCATAACTACAAGGGATAAACTTAAAATTTAAAAATGATTATAAAGCGCGTTCGGGCGTGTTTTTAAAAATTACCACCACAATGGAATGAAGCTTTTATCGCAGGTGCAATAAGTTTGTCTTTTTATTTCCTCATGAAAATAATCTTTGAAAAAAATCGAAAGTACTTGGGTTAACAAAACTAAGTTGCCTTCTTTCTTAAATTTCATCTTAACATCCAGAAACTGATTAAAAAAGAACTGTAGAGGATCAGTATAAAAATATGTCTATATTATTCAATAAAGGATGTTTGAATGAAGATATTCTATTCTATATATATATATATATATATATATATATATATATATATATATATATATTTAATTAA